TGTGTGTATATATATATGTGTGTGTGTATATGTATATGTGTGTGTGTATATATATATATATGTGTGTGTATATATATACTATATATATATATATATATATATATATATATCATGTTAAATGTTAAATGTACTAAATTGTATATTTGTCATTACACATGTGTAATTACACTGAACAAAATTATAAACGCAACACTTTTGTTTTTGCCCCCATTTTTCATGAGCTGAACTCAAAGATTTAAGACTTTTTCTATGTACACAAAAGGCCTATTTCTCTCAAATATTGTTCACAAATCTGTCTAAATCTGTGTTAGTGAGCACTTCTCCTTTGCCGAGATAATCCATCCACCTCACAGGTGTGGCATATCAAGATCCTGATTAGACAGCATGATTATTGCACAGGTGTGCCTTAGGCTGGCCACAATAAAAACAATAAAAATTGTTTGTTTGTTTGGGCGCAGTATCAAACGAAATTAGTTTCCCATTCATTTCCAATATGGTCATTTTTGACCGCAAATAATCTTTTGGTCAAAAATTTGCATCAGAGGGTTAAAGGTGCAATAGGTGAATAAGTGGTCTTAATGTATTTATCTGTATTTATATATTCTGTGGAAGGCGTAGGACCAAGAAATGTTCATCCAATCAAAACGCTCGGTCCGAGCGTTTTAATTGGCTTTCCTACCTGCCTGTCAACTTATGTACTAGCATACCTCTGCTCACCCGGTTCGCGCAGACAGGATATGTCATCAGCGCGTTCACGCACGCTGTGCAGACAGAGCGAGAATGGCAGACAAACATCAACAACCCGATCTTCCTTCCTGGTATTGTAGTACTTTTCAGGGCTGTCAAAAAAAAATTGAATTTCGAATATTCATCGAATTTAAAATAAAAATCCACATTCGAATGCAAAAACATTGCATTCGAATTTTAGGTGTGCATTAAGGAGGTTTATCAGTGGCGCACGAGATGCGATGATGATGTAAGTGTCGTTGCATTTTAATGTTTTTGTTAGCCTATCCAGTTGAAGCCACTAGATGCGGCGCTGCTGGGTGTTAATTTCAAATATTGCAGGAAAAGAGATCATCAATGCGGAGAAGATGTTGTTTACGTCAAAACTGAAACCAAGCCGTTCACACAGAACGCATATTTCGCGCATTTTCTAGAGGGACATCTATCACCGTTGCACTCGCGTCTCGCACAAAAGAGCCGCATGTAAAATTCAAAAGCCATGTAAAAAGAAAGTAAAAGAAAGCCATGTAAAATTAATACAAGTTCAACTTTGAAAAAACATATCTCCAGACTTTATGGTGGGGGGCTTCCCTCATCCTACTTCAACTGGTGTTTTTAAATGAAAAATATACTCTGCGATTGGCTTTCGACCCTTTGTATTAAACTATGAATACATACATGATGCTGTTTTGTTTATAGTTGTTTAAGCAACTTAATTAATTATAATTTGTTTATAAACATTATTTTAAACATTATGCACTTTTTTCATAGATAGTCATGTTATCTTATGCTTTGAATTAGGGCTGAAAGCTAACATTGCCATGCTGATTTCAACTGATTAACATTATGAAAACTGGTAAAAACGTTAAACTCTTAATATAACTTCCAACAATTTCAATTTATGTAAAATTTTCCCCATTGTATTGCCACAGGGAGCAAAAGCGCATTTATTCCTCAAACACAATAGATCCATTATTGAAACTCGGTGAAAGTTTGATCATGGCAGATTTG